AAATAAATATACTAGCTAAAAACTTATAAGTATTATTAATTTAATTCTTATAAAATATAAGATTTAAATTTATATATTTAAATTTATAATTAATAACGCTAGTAATAATAATATACTCTTTAACGATTTAATTATTTATCTTTTTATTTTTATAATAAAAAACTTACTTAATATTAAAGAATTTAAGTTTTTAAATTATTTATAATATATTTCTTATATAATATATATTATTTAATTAATTTTAAAAGAACTTCTAGATAATATTAAGATTATTTTAATAAATAAGAAATTTTAGAGAAGCTAGAGTAATAAAGAAGATAAGAATTAAGTTTAAATAAATATAATTAATCTATTAATAATCTTAATAAAGATATAATATTTCTTATTATTATTCTAATTATTATATTATTAATTATATTAAAAATATAAATATAAATATATATATTAATATTAGCGGCTAGCGTAAAGAGATCTTTTTTATATTATAAATTAAACGACTTTAAGATAAAAACGTTTTAATATTAGATAAATATTAATCTTCTAAAAAAAAGTAATATTATTAAAAACGCTTTTTTAAGCTCTTTTAGAATATTAAAATTTATTAAAATTTAATTTATTAGATATTAATCCGCGCTTTACTTCTTTATATTAATATTATATACTTTTTAAAAAATAAATTAACTATTTATTTAAAATTAAATAATAAAAAATAATTATAAATAAAAATTATAGTTTAAGCGTCTAAATAATTTTCGATTAATTTTTAATAAATTTAATATTTAATTTAGCTTATTAAGTTTTTTTATAAATTTATAAAATTAATAAATAGAGAAAAGAAGATTATAATTTACTATATCTTTAATATTTATAATTATTTATTTAATTATATAGATAAAAAACTCGAAAAATTAAGAAGAAAGAGAGTTTCTTAGAAAAAAGAATTTTTTAAAATTTTTAAGACGGCTCGCGAGAAATTAACTATCTACTATAATTAAACTTAATTAAATTTAAACTATTTATATAAATAAGTTATACTTTTATATTTAAATTATAATAATATAAAATTAAAGAGATTAAATTAAAAGATTAATATTATAAAGAAATTATAAATGAAAATTTATTAAGAAATACTTAAAAGAATATTTTAAAATTATTAAAATATTAATATAAATAATTAATTATAAAGAGTTAAGCGAATAAATTAATTAAATAAAAATATATTTAATTAAGTAATAAAATTTAAGATTAAGAATTTAGATAATAAGAATAAATATAATTAATTTTAGTAGTATAGATAAAATAATAAGTCTTCTAATTATTATTCTAATTATAATCTTATTTTTAATCTTTATAAAGCTTCTTTTAATAATCTAGCGAATCTTTTAATTCTAAAATAATAAAAGAAATTAAAGTTTAAATACGCTATAGTTATTTAAATAACTCGTAATATTTTTTATTCTCTCGCGAGAATTATTATATATAAGCAATACTTCTTAATAATTAAAAGATATTATAATACTTAGAAATATTATTTATTAACGATATTTTATACTCTAATAATAATTTTTTATATAAAATATTAAAAAAATAAGCTTAAATAGATTAGACTTAATTTTAAAGAAGATTTTAATATATTAAATTAGATTAAAAGAGCTAATAATACTTTATATAAAAATTTAATTAATAATTATAATAATTATATTAGCGAAGATAATAAGCTTATAAAAAATATTTTAATAAGTTTAATATTTATAAATTTATTAAAATATATCGCTAATATTCTATAATATATAGAGAAATAATTAATAGATTTATAATTAGAGAAGATTAGTAATAATAAATTTAATCTCGATAAAGAGATCTAGAGTAACTTAAGAAGCGAATTTATCTATAAATAATTAATAAATTTAATTAAATAGAGATAGATTTAGAGTATTTAAAAGAATTGCGATAGAGTAAAATAAAAGAGTAGCGAAGAGTTTAAGAGAAGAATAAATATAAAGTTTATTAAGCTTATCTAACGCGTTAAGATAAATATATAAATAAAGATAATTATAAAATTTTATTTTTATAATATTTAAAGATTTAAAATTTAGAATATTTTTTTATATTATAATTTTAAGAAGAAGAATAGAGATATTTATAATTCTAATTATTATTCTAATTATTACTATTAATAAAAAGATAAATAGCTATATTAAATTACTTTTTATATTTCCTCTCTCTTAATAAAGAAGAATAAATATATTTTATATATCTTAGTCGAATTATTCTATAAATATAGAAATCTTAATCGAGATATCTTATATATATATTATATTATAATATAATATTACAGATATATTATATCGTAAAATATCTCGCTAAGATCTCGAATTCATATTAGAAAAATAAAATAATATTCGATCCTACTTATACTATACTCGAGTACGATATGATATTACTTGATATGAAATATTTTATAGAATATATTATATCTTTCCGGCTAGTACTAATATTACCTTTATTCTTCTTTAAAATAATATTATTACTTATTCTTACTTTAAGATTTCTTTTAATATTATTACTTAATTTAATTATAATATATTAATAAAGTTTAATTTAATTTAATTATTAAAAATAATCGAGTTTATTTTTTAGAATAAGATCTTTATATAAAATCGCTATAATATTAAAATCGTTAATTATATACTCTAAGATATTTAAAAAAAATTCTACTTCTTTTAATAATATAATTATATATTTCTATAATAACTTTTATTAAATTCTTTTAATTATTAAGAGTATTAAGTTAGATTATATCGCTTAAATTATATTAAAAGCGTTTTATCTTTAAAATTATATTTAAATTTTTAGTTTATAAAAAATATAAGATTTTAAAATTTTAATTTAATTAATTAAGACTAGATTAATATAAAGAAATTCGCTTAAAAACTATTAGATATAGATAATAGTATTTTAATAAGTTTTAAAGAATAAGAAGTTATTAATTAATCTATCGAATAATTATTAAATAACTTTATTATTTAACTAATTAATATTATTTATAATAATCTTAACTTATATTAAATAGCTAATTTCTATATATTTAGAATAATTTTTTATATTCTTAATAAGAATATTATTTAATTTAATAGTTAAATTCTTAATAAGTTTTTTAAAGTTAAAACTATTTATAATAATAGAAATTAAGTTATTAATAAGAAAGATAGCTTTCTTCTATCTATTAAAATAATAAATATTTTTAAATTAATTTTACTTTTACTTTATTATTTAAAGTTAAAATAAAATTATATAATAATATTATTAAGAAATTTAAAGTAGTATATAAGTTTATATAATAAAATATATTTATAAATTAAATATATTAAATCTAAGATACTCGATTATTATATTTTTAAAAGTAAATATAATAATAAATAATATTATATATTATATATCCCTTTAATTTTATCTAATTTAAACGATCTATATACTTTTTTTTAATATATCTAATTCTTAATTTAATTAATCTTTAATATAATAATTAATAAGTTTTAAAATTATTTATTATAGTAGATTAATTTATATCTATATTTTAAAATCTTTATTTATAATTAATTATATATAGCTCTAAGCTAAATTATTAATAAATTTAATCTATTAATTATAATTCTAGATAATTTATTAAGAAGATAATTTATTTAGTTAATAAGATATATTAAGAATAAGATTATTAAGTAGATATTATTTTTTTAGATAAGAATATAATTAATTAGCGATTTATAGTAATAGAAGTAGATTATTTATTATATAGAAAGTAAATAAAGTTTAATTTAATTTAGAATTAAGGCTTTTATCTTTTTTATTAATTTTATAGTAATAAAAGTAGATTAAAAACGTATAGTAAGCGATTAGAGTTCGATTTAACTTAGAGCTAGAGCTAAAATTTCATTTAACTTAGAAAAATTTAACTTTATTTAACTTAGAAAAATGAAAAATTCAACTTTATAAATTTAATTTATAGGCCTTTACTTATATTTAATAATAGAACTAATTTCTAAGAAATATTAAAACTTTAAGATATATAAAGTAAATCTATATTTATTAAGTCTTTAGATATATAAGATATATTATTAAAATTAGACTTTAAAAGAAACTCTAATATAATATATGCGATATCGAGGTCTTAGCGTAAGTAGCGCTAAGACTTATAATAGCATTAGGTTTAATATTATTAAGATACGCTAGATTTAAATAAATTAAAGAGCTAAGTAATATATTAAGAATATAGAATACGCTCGTAATACTTAATATCGAGAAGATTTATCTCTTTTATATATTAAATAGCTATCTTTTTTTGATTATTAAGCGTATTAATAATATATTTAAAAATTCTCTCTTATTTAATCTCTAACGAATATATAGAATAATTAAAGCGAGAGACGTTTATATAAAATACTTTATAATAAATATTAATATTCTATTCTTTAACTCTTTACTTAGCTTTTCTTTAATAATTATCTATAGTAAATTTAAAAATATAAATATAATATTATTTAATTTCTCGTTACGAGTAATTAGCTTTAATAAAAGCGACGTTATTAATTCTTAAATCTATTATATATTATTATTTATCTATTAAATACTCTTAAAACTTACGCTTCTTATAGTTATATTTCTTATAAGATATATATAAAAGAATTAACTTAATTAATATTATATAGAATATATAATCTTTATTATTATTTATTTATTAATAAAGAAATAATATCGAGGTAAATTCGAAAGTAGCTTAGTAATTTAATATTAAAAACCGACTTGAGTATAAGTGAATTGCTTTCTAAAAGTAAAGGAAGGAAAAGTCGGAAGATTACTTGCCAAGCCACTAAGCTAGTACAATAGAAGGCCGGAATGGCCATTGTCCGGAATGGCCGCGGAAGCAAATGCTCATAACAATATGCCGGCAAAAAAACTAAGCTATCAACGTCCTCGTTGAGTCACGCTTCCATACATACACCTTATGCTTCCTTACCATTCCCAAACTTCCCAGAAGTATCGCCCGGAGGCGGAAGCAGAAGACAAGGCTGCGGCGGTCCAGGAAGCTGTTTGACTGGAAGCACAGGCATAGGAACGTCCGGAGGTGTGACACTTTTCTTAGGAATTACCACAGCAAGCATACGTGATTGGGATCCTGAAGGCACAAGAGCACCAGATTCCCGAGCTCGCGATTCCGGCACAGCGGCAGTAGAGGAGTCTGGTGCGTCTTTGACAGTGTCGATTGGCTTCCTGGGAATCATTACGGCTTGCATCCGAGATTCTCGAATTGGCCCGTCGTCTTTGGCTAAGCAATGTTGTAGAATGCCCGTCCGTACTTTGAAAAAGAGCCTTAGATTGCTTCTCGTGCAACCTCGTTTTCACTGATCCAGGCTGTGATACCAACCCAGAACACGATCGCTCCGAGAAGTGCCTAACCAGCTAAGGCTTCCCTATTCCTCACGTGTTCTGGAATGATACGTAGATTTGGAATGCAGCGTGTAATTTGAACAATGAGGGGGAACATGGCCCCAGCAGTAAGCACTGTGACTGCTGGCTGTGAACTTATCGTTTCTCCATGGGTGTTAAGGATCAAGTGGTTTAACTCCATGGCCTCCAGAATATGGTAGTATTGCTATATATCCATTGCTCCATCGTGAGTAAGTGGCCGCCTGTTGTAGTAATTCGCCACGTCCTACTCCACAAGATAAATTGGTCAGAACTTATTTGGATTGTACCCCAGCTGGATGTCATTCTACTTAGATAGCTGATCAACATGTCAAATCGTTCTATCAAGAAGAAAACTGTTAACCTGTACACGACTTCCGTCCGAGTAGCCTCGATAATATGGACTACAGCCAGACAGAGAGATAACAAATAGTTTAGTCTAGGAGCTAAGCGAGAGAGCATGGTGTGGGAGGAGATAGCATCGGAGACTTCTGTGATCGGCGGTGAGTGTTTGGCACACCATAGATTGTATCACATCCACCATCTTCGATGAGGGGTGTACAGAGTTCCATCATCGAGTCTTGTCAAAGATGGCTGTACAGGTTGGCCTAGGAACAAAGATGAGAGCAGATTAGCACAATAGGTAGGCCAGCTCGAGTTTGAGGAAGAGATCCTATTGCTTACTCTGGGTTTTCAAGTCAAGGTCGGGAAGGGACATCAAGTCTATCCTGTCAATCTACTGGCAAATGGTGTTAGTGCGTCAACTGATAGGTGTCGGAGAGGCTCTGGACATGAGAACGAAAGGTATGAAAACGTCTTAAGCACTCTTCATCATGTGAGAAGCAAGGCATCAAGAAGGCCTCAAAGAATCACCAAATCTCAAACGAAAGATTTTGTCGGAAGCTGAATGATTTTATGATAACAATCTACATATCTTACAAAATTACGGCTATCTCCTCCCCAGCTTCCACTTCGAGATCTTCTCTTGAATTCTCTCCCACCCAAAGTCCACCTTGCCATTAGCTGTCGAGCCCTCCTGCAAGACAACGGTTGGTGCTCCACTGCCTTGTCCTGCATTTGTTACACGGCCTCCAAAAACTTGCTGTGCAACTCTCCTCAAGTCTTTGACTGTCAAGGCATTGATTTTCGCACACATCTCTTTAACACCAACCTTGTGCCCATGGACCTGAACCTGCCTTCCGAGATCCTCCAACTCCACCATCCGGCTTTCTAGATTCATGAGCAACGAACTTCTTAGCTGGTTCTTCGCACGATTCACTTCTGCCACTTGCAGAGACGAGAATCCACTTTCCAAGGTCAGATTCTGTAACTCGCGGCACATGACTTCCAGCATCTGCCACGCGCGCTGGGGGGAACAGCTAGCGCTGATGCCAAAAAGCCCGGAGTCAGTATATGAATTGTTGAAAGCGACACACGATTCGACCCAGCCGTGTTGATTGAGCACGTTCGTGTAGAGTCGTGAGTACATGCCCTTTCCAGGGCCACCGGCGCTGAATGAGCCTCCACCGCCAAGTAGAGTCTGTAAGGTTGCGAGCGCGTAGATATCCTCAGATGAGATAGGAAGAGCCTCGAAGGCTAAATGGAGGTAGGTGAGATCGGGTAGAGCTGGGTTTGCAGGTGGGGGGAGAGGAGGAAGGGAGAGGAAGCCCCCAGTGTAATGGGAAGGTGTATCGAGATTGATTTGGTGAATTTGCGACGGATATCCATCCAAGACGGATGCTTGAGCTGGAGCAGAAGTTGACAGGCTTTTGAGAAAGGGTATGTGCGAGAGCAATCTTGAGGACGATTGAGGCGGGGAAGGCGGTGTGGATGAGGGCGATGAGTATGCTGATGATAACGACGACGATAAGGAGTTAGATGAGGAAGAGCGTTGGGAAGACATGTCTGACATCGAGACGTCGGGGCCAGACTGGGAGAGACTTGGACTCTGCTGTCTCTGCATATCGCCGAAGTATTGTTCCGTCAGTCTCAGGGCTTCGTCATGCCCGACGCCTGCAAATGCTACCACCATCCTCTCCGGGTGGAAGAAAGTGTTGCGATACTTCTGTACTACAGTTCTGTTGATGAATGCTAGGCGTTCTTGCGGGCAGAGCAGTGGGTTTCCTAGGGTATTATCTTTATACGCAGCCATGTTGACCAGCTCGGGCAAGATGAGCTCTGGCTTCGACCATATCTCCCTGATCTCGTACTCAGCGGTCTCGAGTTGCTGCTGGACTTCGAGATCTGTGATCAGGGGGTCTCGTATAGTCTCGGCGAGGAGACCCAAGGTTGTAGGCACAGCGGAGTTGAAGCTAGCGGACTGATACATGAGCGATTCTCTCGAAGATGCGCACTGTATGTTTCCGCCAAGGCTTTCTAGAGACTCGAGCATTTCGTCTGATGTCCTTGAGCCGGTAGATTTAAAAGCCAACCGGTCTATGATGTGGCTGACGCCTTGTAGTTCTTCAGTCTCATAACGTGATCCGGCATCGACATATACGCCGACACCTGAGAAAGGCCCTGGAAGAGCTTCGGTGGCTACGCGGACACCATTTGGCAGGGTGCTGATCTGGTCGAACTCTGTAGGATCCTATGCTTCGTTAGCGAGGCTTTCATAGAGAACATTTCCTGTCCTCACTTTCGGTGCTTGATCAACAACTGTAGCAAATCGCCTTCGCGATAGAGGAGGCCACTTCGAGGCTGCCCCAAAGGCTCTTGTTGACAGACGCACGAGCGCCCGGGACGATGAGGACTGCATGCTGGATCTCAAGGTCACGGGAGCATCTGCTTATAATGGCTCGAAGTATGTCTAGATGTTGCAAAATTCGTACTTCTCCGGAGCAGAATGATGAGTCTTGGCGATCGGCAAATCTTCGGCAGGTCGGCCTCTGCACTTTCCTTAGAAGGGACGGACATCCTGCGCAACTCAAGAAGGCTCGACTCGAGGAAGTAATAGCTTTGTGGAGACCGTGACCGCAGAGATGAAGTTAACAAATCCCAAGAGCCAATGTGGCGACACCATCTGGCGGCGGCCAGCAGGTTGATGTTTTGCTCGATGGAAACACCTAGGTTCGCACTTGTTGTTTTCCTGCTGCTCTTCCTGTTCCTCTCACCGGACTCCCAGGCTCCGTCTCTTTCGCAGCAACGTGATATAGAGCACTCGATCCTCGAAGAACGGCAGGCTTTGGACTTTCTCAATACGTCAAGCTATGGTGGCCTCGATACCAAGAAGAACCGCTGGTTGAACGTTACAGGACTGAGGCAGAACGATGGTTACGCATGGGACTTGCTACTGGATGTGCAAGAGAGAGCAAAAGAACAGCTACAAAACATATGTAACGCCTTTGAATTCACTTCGATTTTCCAAAACGCGTCTTTGCCTTCGGGGAAGTTGGCAAATGATGGCGAGAAACAGAACACAGTGGGTAGAATATTGTCTACAATGAAACCTTTCTATGATCCTGCTCCACTTTACCAGAACGTCACGGGCATTGTTCGTGGACATTGGACTCGTTCCAAGATAGGAGAAAGTTTGGTATCTCCATCACTGAATCTCACTGCATTGACTCCTCGGATTGGCTATGTATCCCAGAATTACAACCGCAACATCACCGGACGAAGTGGAGACCTCCGATTTCACGTTCATGAAGGCAATGACGACAATTTCAAGCTTGGGCTGGAAGATGATGGCCTGGTTAGAGACGTCAAAGCGACGATGACGATCAAAGACGAGTCCTCGAGTGGCGATGGCTGGGAAATGAGTCTGTTCGGTATACATTATCCACTGCAAGGAGGCATCATCCTTTCTACAACGTCAGAAAAGTAAGCTCTCTGCTACAGTCCCCGATTATGCGAAATTGTCTGACGACGTAGGTTTGCTGGCATCTTTGCTTTACCGCATTTCACGTTATCCGAACGTGCCTTTTCTCTCGCTCAAAGGGTCCTCAATCAAACTCTCATGGCATCAATCGACACCCAAGAGGCAGAGTTTGGCACTGTCCCGAATCCATGGACGTCCTCACCGCACAACCCTTCAGATGCTCTTTTTCCGGTTCCTCATTGCGAATTCATTGTGTACCTGCAACAGCACCCAAATGAAGATACCAACATCGACTTCGGGAAATTGGAGAAGGAACTGCGGTTCCCCACCGGCTCTTCAATGCCTTCCGCGCCGACTATCAGAATGTCTGCTTTGATTTTCTCTCCTGATTGCGGCTTCGTACTCGAGTCACAAGGCCCTCCAGACTTCGCGCCTCAGGAGGGGTTGCATTTGAATGGCCAGAAGCTTGAGTCATACATGCGAACCGCCAGGCGCTGTATCATCGCCTTTGCTGCTGTGACCTGTGCGCAAGTATTCCTTTCGATCAGACAGATGAAGGATGCCTCAACGCCGTCGACCAAAAGCCGAGTCAGCTTTTATACGATTGCAATGATGGCTTTGGGTGATGGCTTTGCATGCATGGGGTTTATGTTTGTTAGCATGATGATTGATGCGGCATTCTTACCTTTAATTTCTACAGCTTTCTTGTCTTTCTTGGGTGTGAGCTTCTTTGGCATGAAATTTTTGATGGACATCTGGACAATTCAAGCGCCAGAAAGACAAGAGCGAGACAGGGAAAGGCAAAGACCGTGGAATGAGACTGGAGCGGATAACACAGCACTCGTACCTCCAGCAAACACTATTCCAGCACCTGCTGGCAACGTCACCGCCGCTGGAGCGGACACCCTTCCCCTGCCCGTCACAGCCCGTCGCACAGTAGACACAGGAGCTACACCGATCGTTATCCCATCAGACCAAGACGTTGATGCCGAAGCCATCGACAATCCAGACAATACCGCAACTCAACCAGCAGGTCAAACCACTACCCTCAATACTGCCCGCCGCGAGATGTCCGCTCTCTACTCAAAATTCTATTTCCTCCTTCTCGGCCTAGTCTTCCTCTCCCTGCACGCCACGACCTGGCCCATTCCACTCCGTTCCTTTTACACTAACACCATGTGCTTCATCTACCTCTCCTTCTGGCTGCCCCAAATCAACCGCAATATCACCCGTAACTGTCGTCGCGCTTTACGCTGGGAATTCGTCATCGGACAAAGCATCCTCCGCCTTGCTCCCATCGTGTACCTTTACATCGTACCTGGAAATGTCTTGTTTTTCGGCAATGATAGGAATACGGCATACTTCTTCATCGCTTGGGTATGGCTGCAGATCTGGGCACTAGGTAGCCAGGAAATCCTCGGACCACGCTTCTTCGTTCCAAAAGGCTGGGCGCCGCCCGCATATGAGTACCACCCTATTCTTCGGGGAGAAAGCGATGAAGAATCCGGCTCAACTATGCCTATTGGCTTTACTCAAGACGCGTCCTCTTCCCCCACACATCTCACTGACCCATCATCACAGCCCAGGATAGGCAGCGGCAGCCTCAGACCCAACACAAAAATTTTCGATTGCGCCATTTGCACCGAGAACATTAGCGTCCCGATCGTACGTAAAGCTGGTTCAAGTGACGGAGAGAGCCAGCGCAGTGCTTCTGCGGCTTTGTCAACGACTCTTTTCGCGCGGAGAGCTTATATGGTTACGCCGTGCAGGCACGTATTCCACAGTGGCTGTTTGGAGGGGTGGATGCGGTATAGGTTGCAGTGTCCCATTTGCAGAGATAACTTGCCGCCGCTATGAAAGACATGAGAAATGCGCGATTAGGACCACAGTGGTGACAGTTTGGGTAATAAGCCATGAACTCGTGTCATAATGCCGCATTGATGAGCATCGCTTCCGCAATCTCAATGGTAAGGGTCTTACTTTTTTGATTGAAACACGATACAGCCGACTGATTACGAACGGATTTGGAAGGATTAAACTCCCAGCCTCATCTCAGACGTGGATGAACGTAAGCAAGAATACAATAAGACGAGCAGTACGTGACCAGTCATGGTTCTCGGCTGAAGGACATGAGAGCAGGTTTCTGTAACCTTTGAAGAGCTCTTTACCCTTGCATTGTGAATGAGCAATGGGTCATTGACCAACATAAACAATCGGATTTTCCAGTGCCTTTCAAAGTCTCGAATCTTTATGTGGGCTCCTAGCTCATAGAGTACAAGATGGTTGGTGGCCTGCCAACGCAGATCGTAAAGCCGTTCCTTCCTTTTGGACATCACCATTTCCTCCCTAGCTCCGTGCTGAATCATGCGAATTTAAGAAATGGAATCTCAGCCATTAGCCATGCCTCGTCCCACCTTCTTGCGTTGTTTTGTTAGAGCAGCTAAGCCGCCACGTGCTGATAGATCAGAAGAGGTTCGCCGGTGTTTTCGATCTCAGGGATGGTGCATTTGAGGTCGAAGGCTTTTGAGAGGACGATCTTGAAGATCTGATAGATATGTGAGCTTACAAATAGTTGGCCGATGGGAGGGTCTATACTTTTTGCACGTTGATGCTGTGGCTTGTGCTACTGAAGATCAGACTTGCTCGCATTGCCTTTGCGAAGCGTCGAGCCTGCGAACGTTGATCATCAGTAGGTGGCAATGATTCAGATCCAATTTAGCTCACTTGGGTAGATATCTCTTCCTGCTCCTCTCTGGGGAAATTGACGAAGTGGTCATACTTTGTGCCGACCAAGAAAGGAATGGCTGTCTTGTTGAAACCTCGACCTTGGCGGTACCACTCCTTGATAGAATTGAGAGTGCTCTTTCGGGTCAGGTCGAACATGAAGAGTATGGCAACGGCATCGTTGCAGACTAGAGGGAGCATGTTGACAAATTCGCGCTGGCCTCCAAGATCCCAGATCGAGAAGGTGATCTCTGTGTTGCGAATTGAGATGGTCTTCTCCATGAAATTGACACCTTTGATAGTCAGCCTCGTTCTCATACTTGTGTCGTGCTTTAAACATCAAGGTCTTACCTAGAGTCTGGATATAGTCCTCATCCCAACTGCCTTCGACGTATTTAACCATCAGGCTTGTCTTTCCTATTTGAGCATCTCCCACCATGCCCACTTTGATCACGACACTCGCCTGACCCTGACCTTGACCCTGACCCTGGATTTTTTCCTGACCTCTTGGTGCATCCTGGTGTGACGAGGGTCTCTGGTTCTGATCTTGGTGGTTCTGCGAGTAGCCTCCGTACCTATCCCCTGACCCGGACAATCCCGACGAAGGTCTTGAATATGGCTGAGGCGCTTGTTGTTGGTATCCCGCGCTTGATGAGGGGTAGCGAGTGTTGGGGTCTGATTCTGTAGAGGGAGAGAAGGAGCCATTGGCAGGCGGGTAGTTCTCTGATTGTATGGACTGGCGTCGTGGGCCCTCTTGATAGCCGTTATTATAGCCACCTGTGGGCGTGGTGCTCATGTTGTCGTCGACACCACCCATGGGTTCATCGTCATTGCCTTTGAAGCTGGATGCCATTGGATCTTGCTGATATTGGGGATCCATGGGCGAGGTCATGCAGTGTTTATATTTGGAATTTGACGAGCAGAGAGCTGCAGGTCCGGTTGGACTCACACGGTAGTCAAGGTCTTGAGGTTGATGGTTGATATTTGATTGTGTACTCTGTGTGTAATACTCTTGTGTCTCTGGAGTGAGAGGAGTCAGGGTGGCTTCCAGGCTGAGAGCTCCGATATTTAAGCGCGGGGAACTCAATTAACGCGAAAGAAGCGACTGGCCAACGCGAGTTGACTACGGTGTGGTACCTATAACTTGTGCCTCTGAGCTGTACAGACCAATGCACATATAATGTTGAGTGTTTCTCTTCCGAACTGAATAAAGTTGAAGATGCACAGCATCCAGATTAGAATATTAAACAAACCCAACCCGGTTTAGCCTCGCCGTTGAAGCCTGTTCCCAGTATCCGAAAACTTAAAATCTTTCTTCCATGAGCGCTAATTATTAAGTCAAGCCACCAGACAATTCTTCTTTGCTGAAACATTTCTTTCCAATTACTCCACAACCTCAACCTCAAGATGGCTAAGAGACCAGCAGAAGAACTTGGGACTGAAGCAGACGCACTGAAGGGCGGTGAGCGACCTTTGAAGGTAGAAGATGGCGAAGAGATGGATTTTGAGGATGAGTTTGAAGACGAGTACGAGAGCGAGGAAGACATCTTTGAAGCAGGAGTAGACGGGCGGCCGGACGAAGAAAGAGAAGCTGAAGAGAGAAGGGGTACGTGGTACTCGCCAGAAGCATTGTGCGATTGTCTGCCCTTTAGTGCAATCCGGTTGTCCTGACTTCGTGCAGATGCTATGGACGTGGACCAGCAGACTTTCATACCTGGCCGTAATCAGTTGGGAAAAGGCGAAACGCTTTCACCGGACTCTTCTGCATATGAGATGCTCCATACCCTCAGCACCACATGGCCATGCCTATCGTTCGATATCATCAAGGACTCTCTGGGCGACAATCGCAAAACCTATCCAGCGACAATGTACGCGGTGGCAGGAACGCAGGCCGAGAGTAGAAAAGCGAAGGACAATGAATTGCTGGTCATGAAGCTCAGTGGGCTGAGTCGGATGGACAGAGATAACGAAGGCGACTCGGATGAGGACGACGACGAAGACGACGACGAGAACGCCGAGCCTATACTTGAGACAAAGTCAATACCTGTCTTCTCAACTACGAATCGAATACGAGCCTACAAAGTCCCCCAGACCGATACCTCGAAGCCTCCTACAACCTTCACAGCAACGATGACAGAGAACGCCGAAGTCCTAATCCACAACATCACACCCCACCTCTCCTCCTTCGACAATCCAGGCACGATTATAACTCAGCAGCAATCGAAACCCGTGTCAACGCTGCGCATGCACAGAACAGAGGGTTACGCACTAGATTGGTCTCCGCTTTCTCCACAGGGCAAACTCCTCACGGGCGATAACGACGGCAAGATCTTCCTGACGACTTGCGAAGGAGGCAAATGGACAACAGACAACAGACCATTCACCGGTCACACTGGCAGTGTAGAAGACATTCAATGGTCTCCTACAGAACGCAACGTCTTTGCTTCCGCCAGCAGCGACGGCACGGTCAAAGTCTGGGACACCCGCTCCAAGTCTCGAAAACCCCAATTAAGCGTCAAAATCAGCGATACCGATGTGAATGTAATCTCATGGTCGCAAAGAAACGCCTTCCTTCTCGCTACCGGCGCGGATGATGGCGTTTGGTCTTGCTGGGATCTACGGCAATGGAAACCCTCATCTCCCGATGGGGCAGCGCCAACACCAAAGCCAGTCGCTTCCTTCAATTTTCACAAAGAGCAGATCACGAGTATTGAGTGGCATCCGACCGACGACAGCATTGTGGCTGTTGCGGCAGGTGATAACATGCTGACGTTGTGGGATTTGGCGGTGGAGTTGGATGACGAGGAGAGTCAAAATACAGCAGATGTGAAGGACGTGCCACCGCAGCTACTGTTTGTACATTACATGGAAATGGTGAAAGAGTGCCACTGGCACCCCCAAATATCAGGATGTGTGATGGGGACTGGAGGTGGAGGGTTTGGGTGAGTCGCCCCTAACACCTTGCCATTGTTTTGAAATATAACGGCATATGCTGATAATGTTTGGATTGCAGCGTCTTCAAGACGATCAGCGTGTAGGTTGTTTGATGCTGAAAATACGGCCAAGAGGCTTCAGGTAGCAAAGTGCTACAATGATAACAATCCAAAGAGATGCTCACCAAACCAGTTGCGTTTAATGGCATCTTGAGCTATGACTACTACAGTGATGGTCTATTCTACTTTAATTTCCCATTTCTTACGTGTCCCTTCGCTATCTCTGTTCCGGCAGCCTGGCCCTTTCTTCGCTTGACAAGGAACTTTAACAGTTTCAGCATAGAGAGTACAGTCTTCTTTGCAACGCAAGTTCTTCGGAAACAGCAATACTCTCCGCAGAATTCTCAAACCCCATGGATGATGATGATGAGACTAAACCCCCTCCGCCCCCCCCCCAAAAGCTTTGGGCATGCTTCCCGGATCTCAAACCGAATTCAGGGTCGCTAAAACATTCACCCTTGAAACGGGGACCTGCCTTGACATGGGCCACACCACTCTCTTGTCACCCAGCTATTCTGGCTGACTCCTCCAGTCCATTTTGTCATTCGTCTCCACACTTGAGGCAGCGACTTCTCCACGGGCAATCCTGTCCCTTCATATGTGGTCCCCACTATTCGTAGTGGTTGCATACTTGCATTCGCCACTACCGCCTTGTCTACTGCCTCGTATCTACACATCCAATACCTATTCACCGTCGACCGAGACTTCTCCACTTCCCCTCCTCTGTCTGCTCCAGACAAGGCGGCGACACTGCCACGTGAAAAATGGACGCCGTTTCGGATCCTTTCGATTCGCTGCCATTCGACCCCAGTGCTCGCCTGGTTTCATTCCTGAAGCTCCGTCTCCTACGGGGCAGGAGGGCGCTGCTTCATAGCTGAAGCTTAGCTTCTCACAATCTCGCAAGGCAGTACTCGCCCGGAAGTTTTCATACCTATAAAAGGATGCGTTCTCTCCGGCGAGCGATTGCTTCTTCAGTATCTCCCTTTTTCAAGTCATCTGTACCCACCAGCTCCAAGCCTGCCAGTTTCAACCCAGCTCTTCTATCCGAGCCACCCAGTCCTCGTCGCCGAAGCCAGAACCTTCGCTGTCCCTACATCTGCATCTTCCGTCCCGCAGCCCGTCCTCCTTCCACTCAGCAGATACAGCCGGTTCTGTATCTATCCCGCAAACAGTGTCGGCCTCTATTCCGTTCAACCCTTCCTCACCACTGCACTTCCGATCTCGAATCCCCTCGACCCCACGGCCTTCCGCACCCTTCAAAGACCCCGCAGCCATGCCCTCGACCCCCAACGGCCTGGGCCGTTTCGAAAACCCCCTGCGTTACATCGCCGGGAAGAAACGACCGGACAAGGCCGACAAGCCGGGCGGCGGCGCACAGGAGAAGAATAAGGAAGGCGAGAAGTTGAAGCCGAAGCCGAAGCAAGGCGGGAAGGGCGAAGGTGGCCGGAAGGTGATCGTCCGTAGCAGCCGTGGGTACGATGTGAAGAGACTTCCGCAGAAAGACGGTGGATGTGGTGGAGGGAGGGAGGGGGGAGGGGGTGCCGGTAAGGGTGCGAAGGATAGACCTCGGGGTTCCGGTCGCGTTGGAAGCGGTGGGCGTGGTGAGGGTGGAGGGGCGGGGAGTGTGCGGAGGGGTGGTGGTGATGGAGGTGGGGGTGATGGTGGAGGAGATGGGCGTGGAGGGGATGCTGGTGGGGAGGGTGCTGGTGGAGGGGATGCTGGTGGAGGGGATGCTGGTGGAGAGGATGCTGGTGGGGAGGATGCTGGTGGAGGGGATACTCGTGCAGAGGATGCTGGTGCAGAGGTTGCTGGTGGAGAAGATGCTGGTGCACAGGATACTCGTGCAGAGGTTGCTGGTGCAGAGGTTGCTGGTGCAGAGGTTGCTGGTGCAGAGGTTGCTGGTGGAGAAGATGCTGGTGCACAGGAGGCTGGTGGAGGGGATGCTGGTGGAGAAGAGGCTGATGGACAAGATGCTGGTGGAGAAGATGCTGGTGCACAGGATAATCGTGGGGAGGATGCTGGTGCACAGGATGATGGTGGGGAAGATGCTGGTGGGGGAGATGCTGGTGAACCGGATGCTGGTGGACAGGATAATCATGGGGAGGATGTCGATGGACAGGATGCTGGTGGGGAGGATACTCATGCAGAGGATACTGGCGGAGAGGACACTGATGGGGAGAATACTCTTGTGGGGGATGATGGCGGAGAGGATGCTCGTGGAGAAATCGTCTGAGTGGATATGGTGGTTCGAAAAGGAGGTATAGAGTAGTCTAGCGATGAGCACGCACGTTCCTCTGCCAATAGCAGCCCCTTCGCCACCGCAGCCCGCGTCAGGAGAGGACATGAACAAGCAGAGACGGGATCGGGTGGTAGTGTTGGTGTGCCGATGAGCGCTGTTTCCATTCTGGAATAAGATCACGGCATGCTCCCAACAGGTTATCTGTTTATCAATAGCACCAAGCAGTCCTTATTCATGTACTTTCCTTTGAGGTATCACCTATCTTCTCGGTATTCCTGGCTAATGGAAGGGAATCTTCCCCCGTGCCATCTCCCCGGCCTGCTGGACCAATCGAAGCAAGTCCGCCCCTCGGCACCTGGACTCTCGGACCTTCAAAACCCTTGCCGGCCTTTGTATCACCATGGATGCCGCCAAATCCTAGGCTTCTCCATGCTCCAGCGTCCTACCTTCGTGCTCTATCTCTCAACTAGCAACCTTGCGTCATCTGCCGTGTAACGTTCAAGCCTTCACAATTCATCATCCACCAAACTTCTACCATCCGCCCTTCGCTATCCGTCCACAGTTCATCGACGCAGAATACCTGGCCGCAGAGCGGACACGGACAGTGAAGAAGGCAACGCAAAGGAAGAAAGCAGAGAGGGAGAAGACGAAGAAGGTGAAGCAAATGAACATCATCAGGAGGATTGCGAAGACGAAAAAGGTGAAGCAAATGAGATAGATGAAGAAGACGAAGAATGCGACGTGACTTACAACGCAACGTGTGTGGTGGTTGTGAAAAGGTATGTCCCTGGTCGCAGTCCACAAGGATGCATTGCTGACAGTTAAATGCCACTTACGGACTCTGCCACAAGTGCATGCGTTGTTCAAGCTTCGATTACCGCTCAGCATGCGTCAAGAAAGCCTCAAAGACCCACCTACGACACCGGTTCGAAACGCTCTATGAGCCAGAGTCTCATATCTCTGCCAAGTCGGAGGTGATGAACGTGGCAGCAGAAGCTATGGTCACGATGATTGAAGAACAGACCGCTCAGAACGAGTATCAGCCATCATACCATACAATGTTCGTTGACGACTTGCTCGGGTGGTGCGGATAGGAGACGCTAACGGTCACATCAGACCCAAAGGACGTAAAGCAAGTGAGTTCTTAGGACTTCTTGAGATACGAGAATACGTACCAGACAGTCCCCACGAACGTTTTCATCGACCAATGCACAGGGGATTTGGTGATGGAAGAGAAGGGCCATGGAGAGGGATGTCACCTGGGCCGTCGCACACTGTCATCAACGCAAGTTATATGAGAAGATTAGATTCGGATCATGAGCTGCCTGAAGAACTCAAAGCTCGTCTCCACCATCAGGAACAACAAGGACACCTTGATCCAGCACGTTACGGATGAAGAAATGGTTGACGAGGATCGAGACCTCTAGACCCGTGGACGAGGGAACGGTCAAAGCGGACCGATAGCGGAGGAGGCTGAGCATGAAGAAGGAGGGGGGAGGGGAGCGGAGGGGAGACAATGGGGAGTGAGCATGATCAGGAACCCGATGCCTGAGCTGAGCAGTATGAAAGACAGACTCGGGCGATGTTGCACCCGCTTCACGAACCTATCTCCGCTGACACCCAGGAAACATGACTCCCTCCAGAGGCCCGCCGCACCCAGGCCTCCGAGGCGCGGATTTTAGAGTGGGAGGAAAAGGCGCCGATGCAAACATAGTTGTCGGACACGGAGCCCCAATTCCTCCATCTCGGGCAGGTTTTCCAGGCGGCGGAGGTGGTGCGGATGTTCGCGCGGATGGAGGGACAGCTGTTAGCGGAGGAGGATGACGAGCTGGTCGGGGTGGTGGAAGCGATGGTGACGGCGGAGATGACTGATGCTGTCTATGTGCGGAAGACTTCTTCGGTCTGTGGGTGGGGGGGTTCTGGTTGCATGCCTGGATGTGCGGGGGGGAGGCTGGTGGGGTCTTGGTGGTTTGGAGGATAGCTTGATTAATGCTCCGAGTTGAAGGCGAAAGAATTTCATGTAGATCGGAAGTTCAATGAGCGTTGAAAGCCAACATGTTCTACATACATGGGTGCGGTTTGCGGACTGTGCAGAACACGCTGTCACCTCCACTGACGGGTTTCTCTGGGATTCGCTGCCAGAGTACTTTTGAGATACTGCTGGCGAGAAAAGAAACGGGGCAATATTTTCCCTACGGTCTGTGTCTATTCGACATCCAGCTTTAAGTATGTGGTTACTTTAGGAGCGCCAGAAGTTTGACTATGTTTTGTCGTTCCCATCAGTCCATGACCATAAATTGAGTATGGACCACATCTAACATGATGAGAGAAGAGAAATCTGCCCAACACTGCCGACAGGATTAGCTAGTCGACCGATGACGAGCGGAAAGGTTCAATTGGCGGAAAGGTACAAAACAGATTCATTAGGAATTGCACTATGGCTTTCTTCCGCGCTGAATGTTACCTACTCTGTTCGACTCGTGTTGGCCACAGTGGACTTCATTTCTCCAAGTACTGGCTGATAATCGTCGCTGAGCACATGTCTCCTATTGGTCATAAGTTTCTTCTGATATTGGGATATGGCACGTTGTAGAGCCAGCTTTTGGCTTTGAATTTGTTCCAGTCTCTCAATTTCCCCCATTGGCTCGCTTTGCCTTCCTTTCCGATAAGATCCCTCTTTTTAAGGCCGGCGCTTAACAGCCCACCTTTCTCGCGCGAAGTGGGATGTGAGGACAACGCAAGTTCGAAGCCAACGCAATGCATATGCAGCATCCTACATCACCTTGCAGAAGACTCGTCGCTGCTTCGGTCAACGTGCTTCTCGCACACGGAAAATGAGTGGGTCGAAAGGACCACACAATCCTTTGGAGACTTCTAGAAGCCGTAGTAGGGCCGTGTGCTGCATCAACGATTGAGCATTGGGCTGCTGGGCTAGAGAGCGTCTCCCTTTTGCCATTCTGGTCTCTGTATCCCGCTCCAGGAGATGCATAAATTCCGCTTTGACCTTCCGTTCATAAAGGCGTGGGAAGATGGCAACGGCTCTCGATTGGTTCGTGCCGGCTTATCCTGTCCTTGCGGATGCGCTGTCCTGGATATTGTTATATCGACTTGGTCGCCGCTGCTGCTCGCCCGTTAGATCTCGCAGCTGCGTTAAAGCCCGAGGATTTGGAAGCCCGGGAACCCGGCCCAAGCCATCTTTGACCGAGAGTCACTGTGAAGGTAGTGGGATCTTCGGAGTGTCTGCCTCGTCAGAACATTGTATTTGGGCTCGCCTTCCGCCAACGTCATTTCGTAGAGAATGTCATTCGGCCGAGTTCTAGAGCAGTGGCTGGAGCTGGAGACTGGAGACTGGATACTTCAAGGGTTCTGTCCAACATTGGTAGCTTCGGACGATGTCCGATTAACTTTTGGGTGGTCAGCGGGTGTGGAAAATGAGAATATGAGCTAGGAGAAAAAGGTAGCGAACCATAAGAACTTGTTTCATAGTCATGTGGTGTCTTTCTTGAACTCACGTAAGCTGATCACACATCTTGACTTCGAATGTTGACTGGGCAGGGGGTTGCCATTCTCTTTGAGCGACGGGCATGCTGAGCCTCGAGGCCGAAGGATCTTCCACCGGGGCCCAGATGATTTTCCAACGGAGCTGGTCCCGTTACTAAATTTCCACCATTCATTCTTGAACATCTCTTTAGCTCGTTATTCGGCCATTCACGATCAGCACAGCGCCAAGCACAGCAAGTCATCTGTATGGTCCAATTTCAGCGTGTCGGCTCGTTTCCACCTTCCGGTAGGGGGTTGTGAATTGCGAGTTGCTCTGTAGCCTCTAGGCGCAAATCTAGTACCTAGTACAGAAGATACAAGGATAGTGGTACCTAGTACATGGATAGTGGTACCTAGTACATGGATAGTGGTACCTAGTACACGGCCAGGTGCCAAAGCTTTTTTGCTAGTAGGCGGGTACGGCATGCAAGACATGAAATGGTCCTCCAAGCAAAGACGCCGCTAGACCCCGGATTTTGATCATATCGGGCTAGAGTTGTCTGAGAGGGAGAAGCAGAAAGCAGCAGCAGCAAGCAGTAGTGACACTCCCGGACCTGAAAACCGTTTGCATCGTATGGTTCGCCACGAGGTGCCAGACCCAGCGTTACGCTTGAACGTGATGGTTGGTAATAGTATTACCTATTCTCTCCACGGGGCCGACTGCCACGTTAGTCAGAGATGGTCACGAGATGACTTGCTTCTCCCCTTTTTCCCATGAGAATACAAATGAATTGGAAAGAAGTGGGAAGTAGGTACGGCTTCCATGAGATTTGCAGTGGGTGAAGAATAATAAAAAATACTTAGTGAATAATAATGATAGTAAAGAATGGGCTGAAAAATTCAATGCGCTGATCGAATTGAAAATGCCATACCGCGAACTCTCTTCCCGAGATGTGTCGGTGCATTTCCCGTCTTTTTTTGAATGATGGGAAAGAACAGCCCTTTGCCGCTGCTTTTTCGCCTGAACTTCTTCACTATTTTTATTTTAGCTCGCCACCAAGACGGCCGTTCAACCCTGGTTCCTTGGCCAGCTCAGATCACGAGCTGATCCTTGTGCCTTCGTGGTCTAGTCCCGCATGCACAGAATAATGCTCGTAAGCCTCTTATTGTGTGAAGATGGGATCACCCATGCCTCACCCATGCTTCACCCATGCTCTGATGAAAGTACTCTTGCATAACTGATAAAGTGTTTTGGGTGCGAGGGTCTGATCTAAAGGCTCGCTTGCAACGCGGTTCCACTTCTTTTTTTGGCTTCACAGGGCTCACAGAGCTTCTATGCATCCCCCGGATCTTGGGGTATCGGTATACCCTTCCTTTTGCCTGATTTCCCTCAGTTCCTGTCTGTCTGTACCTAAACTCAGGAACCATTGATCGCACACATGTACAACGCCAGAAGTTGAACATCCCAACTCACTAAAATATTGGTGGCCAGAGCCAGTCTCTGCCACTTGCGCATGACGGTCGATCAACACCAGGCTACGTCCAGCATCGGCCTTTGCCTCCTTCTCGCCAATCAGCTGCCTGCGGTAAAGAACCGCCTTCGTGACGTCGGATTGCCGTCCGTAGGTATTCTTTCAACACTTCTCTGTCTTCACACTTCCTCGGAAGATCCAATTGATTGATCGCAGTACAATAATACACCTTCACATGCTCTCGCAACACTAAGCATGCTTCATGATTCTTGACATTTTGGACAACCGCTTGGTCGCCGTCATCCCAACCGCCATCCAAACCGCCATCCAAACCGCCATCCAAACCGCCATCCAAACCGCCATCCAAACCGCCATCCAAAACAAACAGCCTCGGCGCCCTCAAACACACGCGCCCCCACGGCCTGTGGAAGAAAAGAAACGATTTCAGATTATACTACCAGCAAATCTTCCCAGTACGGTTCGGTCGGCGTCCGACTTCGCCCCCCAGACCATCACTTGCACTCCACAGACCTGAAACACCGTTCGGCAAGCCGAGCGCTTCAAAGTAGGCTGGAGTCTACGACGTTCAACACTGTGCATACCACACCACCGCCAATCGCACGTACATACAATACTCCAAACCTTTCCCAGCGGCCAGGAGCAGCTTGCTTTCTTCATTGCGAAGTTGCAATTTGGATGACGGCTGGCTGCATCTGCACGATACCGTTTATCCGCCTGGGTCTTCAGTGATAGGGTAGGCGAACAGACTCGACGTCTACTCTCCATTGCCTCTACATGATTCGTATGCTAATCGAAGACTCAACGCTAGTGCCCGTTGCAATCTCGTCATTGCCCATTTCATCCCATTCCGCGTTCAATCGGTGCCACATATTGAGAATTTGGCTCTACAGCCATTGTTATTATATTCTTTCTCCCAACGAGCCGAAGGATTAGGTCTTTGCGGACGGTGGACTCGTAAAAGACGAGCATAGACTTCTATTTCTGGAGAAGGAGTCAGTCCAGTCGTTCCTGGCGGCATTTTGATCTGTCATGAAATCGCTCTCGGATATGTCAGCAGCCCTTGAATCGAATACAATCGCGCCTTCGACCAGCATTGACGCTTCTGGTGGGGTCACAAGTGCCGATAGCAGCAGTCATGCCAGCGGACAAGGCATTGGTATGTCCTGACCACCGCACTCCATATCTACACTGTTGTTCCCAATGAAAGATAGCAGCTTTGGTACTGATTAGGTCATAGCTCGCCCGCATGCGAAGTCCTTGAATAGCGGACAGAATGCAAACCCCAACTTCCCCCCTCCGAAGACGGATAAGCCCAGACCTCATGTTTGTGCTACTTGTACCCGGTCCTTTGCACGTCTCGAGCATTTGAAGCGGCATGAACGTTCTCACACGAAAGAGAAACCTTTCGCTTGTCCGGAGTGCACCAGATGCTTTGCTAGGCGGGACCTACTTTTAAGGCATCAGCAGAAGCTGCACTTGACGGCCTTGCCGCCATCAAGGCAAAGAGGCGCAAGGCGAGAGAGTACTAGTAGCGCAGCTCCGGGAGGCTCTACAAGGGTTCGTAAAAACTCAATGGCGAACAATGCTTCTGGAACCACAGGAGCTAGCGCCATGCGCCCAAGAGCGAATACCATAAGCCATGTAGACGGCCCGACTCTGGGACTGCTTGCGGCCGCAAATTCGTCCGCCTCCAGGCATGAAGCCATAGGCCTTGGCCTTGGTCACCATGGCGGGATAAATGGATTTTCGCATGGACTCCCAGGTGTTGGCACCTACCCCCTGCGAGGGATGTCATCAGCGACTGGACATCATGGCAATTCCCATGTGCTACCAAAGCTCGAGACAAAGCACCAGGGTATCGACATTGGTGCAAGCTTACGTACCGCTCCACCATTCGGAGGGTTTGGTGGTGACATTGATATGGACAGTATCTTGTATGGACCCGGAACGACTGTGAATCCAGCACAGCTACACTTTTCCAATTCTCCGCAAAATCTTGCTTTCGACATGGCGCATTCACCGTATCATCAAGGGTTTTCAGGTGTCCACTCAGCTCAACCCGTGATGGACAATGATGGACACTTTACCTGGATGAACAATTTTGACCATCAGATGTCATTCCACGAATACAACGAGCAGGCTATAGATGGATCCTCACCATCCGCAATTAGCACCGGTAGCCCTGATGGTATGAATGAGGTCATGCTTGATGGATCAAACAATTCGATGAGCGCGTCGGGAGCATGGCCGAATGCTTCAATGTCTCAAGCGGCCTTTCCACCGGCCTTTTCTATGGACCTATCGGCGCAGCCGTTTCCTGATCTGTGTCCCCCAAGCCAATTGTCTCCGAAATCTCTGAACACAAACATGGGGAATGGCGATCAGTATTTCTCCTCTCCCCCACCTTTGAGTTCCCAGACCCCAATATCCTTACTACCTGGATTGAGCCACCATTATTTTCATCCGTCCATGAATAATAGTTCGGATACTCCCAGCAATTCCGCAGCATCTATTAGCAGCAGCAATCGACAAAGCTCTGTGACCTCTGTTTCTACGGACTCCATTACTGACGCAACTCGGCAAGCTCTTCTAACAAGTCTCTCGCAGCCATCCATGTTCAGGCAACGGAAGACTTCTCATCCCCAGGTATCCTCACCTCTGTCTCCTGTATTTTCTTCCGGGTCTAGAAGCATAAGCAGCATTCCGCTTCCGAGCACTTACGATCTCCAACGTTATGTAGCTGCCTACATTCAGTACTTTCACCCTCATCTACCGTTCTTGCATATCCCGTCTTTATCTTTCGACTCTCCAGCATTTACCAGCAGCCTTCGAGCTTCCAGTGGACACTTCGCTTGCGGTCAATCAAGCATTGCAGGAGGAGGGGGCTCCCTTATTCTTGCTATGGCCGCTATTGGGGCTCTGTACGAATACGATCTGAGCGCTTCGAAAGAGCTCTTTGAGATGGCCAAGAAGATGATACATTTGTATCTGGAGGAGCGGCGCAAGGCAGATATGTCGGCAGCCCTCAATGGAAACCATGGCTCAAATGAGAGCTATGCTCAAAACACTCCATTATGGCTCGTACAGGCTATGCTGCTTAATGTCATTTATGGTCACAACTGTGGAGATAAGACTGCTGCAGGCATCGCAAGTACGCATTGTGCCGCCCTTGTCAGTCTAGCTCGAGCAGCTGAGCTTACAAAACCGGTGCCGGGGTTTCGCTCTGCACATGGGACTAAACCACACATCAAGCAAGAAGACGCACAGATGGGTGGTGACGAGTGGAATGGTGCTGGATCTTACAGCATACTCGATGCTCAAAATGAATGGCACTACTGGAAGCTGGGCGAAGAGTGCAAGCGAACACTATACGCTGTCTTCATCTTATCAAGCCTTCTAGTCTCTGCTTACAACCATGCTCCAGCTTTGATGAACTCGGAGATTGGGCTCGATTTACCTTGTGATGAAGGTCTTTGGGCTGCCGACTCTGCCGAAACTTGGCACTCGCTCGGGGGTGCTACGTCAGATCAGAGATCACTGTCCTTTGCTTCTGCACTTAGCTCTTTGTTGACAGCAAGCCAGCGTTCGCAGCAGGGGCGTCACGGCGTGCGACAGGCATGTGACCCGCCCAACATGAAATTCGAAGATCTTCCAGAAAGCGACATCCGACCAAGCACTTTCGGCTGCCTCATCCTGATCAACGCTCTCCACAACTATATTTGGGAGACGCGGCAGAGGCACATGGGACGACAGTGGACACCAGTGGAGACTCAAGCAATGCATGATCGTATCAAGCCTGCTCTGAAAGCATGGCAAGCAGCGTGGTCGTGCAACCCGGAGCACAGTATTGAAAGGCCCAATCCCTTCGGTGCAAGCTCGCTCTCAGCTGACTGCATACCGTTGTTGGACCTCGCATACGTTCGGTTGTACGTGAACCTCGGACGTTCGAAGGAGGCTTTCTTCAGACGTGACTTTGATACTATGGCGGATGAATTAGGTTGTGGCAATGAATTTGTCCAACACGCCGGTCACTCGCCTCGCTCCAGCACCCCCAGCGGCGAATCAGATGCTGTCTCCAGTACCACAAGTAGCTCTCCCAGCATGACATCCTCTCATATCAAGCTTGAGGGCTTCGCCTATGTAGACGTTACAGCATCAGAGAATCCACCCAATGGTCGATCTGGAGAATGCACCACGAGGGAAAAGCAGCTGTTTCTTGCAGCAGAGTTAGCGGTCAACGCTTTGATCATGGCCAATAAGCTCGGTGTCACCTTCGCAGACTTCAGTTCCAGAGAGCTTCCCCTACAATCAGCGTTGTGCGCTTTTGACTGCGCCCAAGTCCTTGCTGAGTGGGTCTCAACGGTCCAAGAGCGAGTAGGTCGTTATTTGGGCATACTCGGTAGAGATAACATAGACTTTACCGAGGTTCCAGGCATCATGTTAATGGGGGATAAAGATCTTGGGATTTTAGAGAAGATCAACGAAGTCCTTACTAGCGCAGAGACGAAGCTGGCAGACAGCCGGCCAATAGCAGCAGACATGCTGAAGATGGAGGACTGCGGGTATGGCAGCAAGATTCTGCTGGTCCATGCTCGCATGTTTGAGAAAGCTGCCGTTTGGCCTGGTAAGTCGATTGCTTGCTCAGTATACTAAGCATTGCTAACATCGACAGTCACCCGAGAGATGTCCCAGTCGCTGCGCATACAAGCCGCACATATCAAAGAAAGAGAAGAAGCCTCGATCAACCCTTCGACGTAAATACACATCCATTGCCAGGAATCTCGGATACATACACACGACATCATGGCGTTACGAGCATGATTTATCCTGTCGCTACGATACCCCAAGGAACCTGTACATACTACAGCATCGAAAAGCACTGAGTCGAAGATAACGGCCAACGCCCGTCCGTCACGGTTTACCATTCATGTACAGAATTGTTACAAAAATTGCACTTCTTTCCTTTGCCGATTGCCGGCTTACAGCCATTGTTTGCCTCATCTCATGCATGTTGCAAAAATGATGCATTCACGAGTCACGATTCCATGGGTCTTCTACTTGCAACGAACCTATCGTGCGACCTTTTAGGGAGGGTGGTTTAGGGAGGATGGTTTTAGGGAGGGTGGTTTGGGGAGGATGGTTTTAGGGAGGATGGTTTTAGGGAGGATGGTTTTGAGGAATAACCTGGAGTACTGTGAATACTGCCGGGTAGCATTTAGGGAAAAGCAAGAGTACATACCCTGTCCATCAAGGAAGTTGTCGCCGGTGCTGCACGGCAATGATTATTCATTTCGACAATATGTATGATGCTGTTTTTCAGAAATGAGATTATGTACCAGAAACCAATATAACCCGCAGGAGTGCCGCGTCTATTTATGTTATTCTGAGTCTTGGAAATGTATAGGTAGGTACCTTAGAACAATGTTGTACTGTTGTAGTATAGGCGAAAGCTTTGGTTGTGAGCCAACTTTTAGTGTAAGGGCCAATGAGGATCTCAAAGCTTGGAACGGGGCAACGTTTATTCTCTCACTCACACAGTAGTAATACGCTGTCTCATATCAATATACTACAATACCTCCAAGTTCCCATGATGGTGACAAGGCAATTAGCGGCTAACAATATGCACGAAGGAATATCAAGCTGTAGCACAGCCTCCACTGTCGCTAAGCTCTGGAAAGTACCATAAGTAACCGCATAAGATCCTGCCAAGACATGTCTCTCCCCAGCCCATCCACTCCTTCCCCTTCGCTACTTAACCAGAGCAGACTTCATTCTTTTCAAGCATACTTGATCCTATGTTACACTCACACACAATGGCTGAACAGAGCCAAACAAACTCTATCCAGGCCCGCATTGCCGCTCTGAACCTGGGTCAAGTTGGCAGGGCACCAATCACCGCCTATGCTTCAAAAGACGACATTCCGCCAGAGTATACTCAGACGAGACCTCAAATAGAGCAAAGAAGTCATTCTATAAGCGTGCCTCAAACTTCAGCATCCAACGCGCTGTCGAGCAATGGCATTGGCAACGAGCCCAACGGGCCAAGAAGACACGGCGTACTACCACCCCCTACGAATATCATTCGAACAGGTCAAAGGGTCTCGCAGCCTGCAAAGCCTGTACCGGCGCCTCCTCCAAGGTTACCCGAGAGGAAAATGTCTACACAACCTTCACCTGCACTGCCACCCAGGAGACCATCTGAGAACTTGCAACTGAGCAGGAAGGCTTCAAATGAGTCAATCTCTTCGACCTTCTCAAACATCTCCACAATGTCTGCTCTGTCCAACGGAACGGCCAAGACTGTGCATTCGAGGACACCTTCTATGGACGGAAGCCGAGTCAAAGCACCGGTCTTCGATCCTTCGACTTTACCACCGTTGCCCCCCAAGCGGACAAAGGATGATGTGGAGAAAAGATATCAGGATATTGAGAAGTCAAAGGCCTTCCCAGGGTACAAGGATGTGGAGAGGGCTAGGATGCCATTGGTGGGCACTAAGTCGACATCCAGCGTCGCAACTGTGGAGATAAAGCCTCCGCCGATTACGCCATCGCTTCCTCCAAGACCCGCACGGCCAGCGTCGGGCACGGCTACCACGCGAGTTTCGCCAGAGCGACCACCTCCTATGCCAGCCAGGTCTGCTCTTTCCTATGGTATGAACAAGCCCCAAGCCCAAGCACCAACCGATGGAGCCAACGGCAGAGCAACAAGTCCGGGGCCGGCTAAGCCCGGAGCACCACCGCCTGTTCCTCTCACATCTCGCCCCGATATCACAAAACTCCATTCCACAAATCCCAAGGCTCAGCCCCAAATACCTACTTCCGCACTCTCCTGCCTCCTCTGCCGCGATTTCTCCGCCCCAGACGCCCACGCTGCCAAGTTCCCCCGGGAATCCGTTCCCTCTCTCGATTGGATAGCCACCCAACTCACCGCTCCCTTCTCGTCTCCTACAGACCAAGCCCGCGCAATCTTCACTTGGCTCCACCATAATATATCCTACGATGTCGAAGCCTTCTTCAACAATCGTGTCCAACCGTCCACCCCTGCTTCGACCCTCATGAGTGGGCTTGCCGTCTGCGAAGGCTATGCTGGCCTCTTTACTGCCATAGCTACAACGGCTGGTCTCGAATCTGTCGTCGTCGGCGGCCACGGCAAAGGATTCGGTTTCTCTGCCCTACCTCCGGGCGCACCATTACCCGCGGAATACTCTACGCATGCCTGGAATGCTGTTAAGATCGATAACGGAGAGTGGAAGCTCATCGACTGCTGTTGGGGTGCGGGTAACGTCAATGGGAAGGGCCAGCCTTATAACAAGCATTTCTCGCCGCGCTTTTTCACGATGTCGAATGATGAGTTCGGGCTACGGCACTTCCCCACCAACAAATCGCAATTCTTCCGCTCGGGTGGTAGGAGAGTGAGTTGGGAAGAATACATAATTGGTGATACGGGTGGAGCGTTGCTGCAGGTCTACTCCGGCGTTGCGGAGAAAGAGGGCATTAGCGAAACGACCTTCCTGCCAAAATATCTCAAACTACCTGTCCGACCCTCCGCACACGCTGGGCCAACTGTCCGCTTCCAGTTTTCGCGCATCTGTGAACATTGGGATCCCGTACGCAACGGCGCAGGGAAACCATATGTCTTCATCCTAGCGATCCACGGTATTGATGGGAGAGAGGATGACTTTGTTCCCTTTGACACTAACGGGATGTTTTGGTGGGCGGACGTTGTGCCGCAGAAGCTGGGAGCGCCGGGGCAGAGGGTCAGTGCCTATACGGTTGAGACGCTGAATGGCCAGAGTGGCAGGGGTCTGAGTGTGGGGGAGTACAGGTTGAAGAAGGGAAGGGTGGGGATGAGCTTTGGGGGGTTGGCTATGTGGGAGCTGGCTTAGTAGGTCAAGGGGAAGGACAACCGTAATGCTTGGCTGTAAGTAACGATCTGGCGTACTGCGTTGAGGTCAGGCTTCATGATGACACGGCAGCGAAACCCTAGATAGCCTTGGGTGCTTGGAACAGAAGCCATCGGCAATGTGTACATGTTGGGCAGAAAGCCATTCTACTTGATAGATGGCCAGCTGTGACACAATCTCACTGACGCAACCCTCCGCTTTCACCTCCTGCGCCTGCACATCTGTATCACTCCCACTCCGCCCTCCCCCTTTCCGCGCAATCCCGAAACCAACCTGGGCTCGTGCTAAGAGCCTTTATTCAAAACACACAGTGACCCCAATAACTCCCCCGACATCGCCGCCATTGATGTCCGTCAAATCCAGAAGAGCGCATCCATCGTTGTCCTCGGGAAGCTGATGGGATCCTCGCCGGTCACGGTTGCCTGGGAAGCACGGTCTCGAACTCGAGCGTGAGTCCCTTGGGGCGGGCGAACCGCTCTACCCATGCTCGCTCAGAACCCCTCTTTTGCCGATATGGTGCAGATGGCTTCGGGGTCGTGGTCATCTCACGGCAATTCCGGACTGGGCCGGATGGTCGTCGGCAATGTCCTTCCTCTGCTTTACATACATGCGTGTCGGGTTGGAGCGTTCGTCCCCTCGCGTCTCGTTAACTGTGGCCTGAGCGGTCCGGATGTCTTTGCCCACCGCGTCGTTCCACAACTGAGTATCCAGAGACGCGAAGTCGGCTGCTTGGGAGCCTGGTCTCTCTCTTGCTTTCTTGGATCGCCGGTTGAGCGAGCGCGGACGATGAGATTCCCCCGCCCTCCCTTTGACACGCTCGAAGTATCCATTCTCGACGTGGAGGGTGGCAAAGGCTGGGACTGGAAGCGGGCAGAGATCGCTGCAGCTGATTTAGACGGGCGGATTCGGAGGCCGGATTGATCGGGGTTTGGACGGCTGTGGGGGATTTCGTATGTGCGCGGATTGACGGTGTAGGGGGGTTAGGTATCCGTTGGCGGGCACGTTGCGTCTCGTTTGGAGAGTTGGGAGTTGGGGAATTTTCGAACCATCCCTCTTGCGGATGTTGTGAGATGGACATGGCCACGGCGATGATCCACCGCGCTTGCTTCCTCGGAGGCTCAAGTCGCAGCAATGAGTGGGTGGTATCTTAGGCGGATTCAGGGGTTCGTATGTCTAGGGTTGTGGACTTGACTCGGGTGGTGTTGATAGAAGGTCTTTGTTGATCGAGAATGGGGGAGGTGGTCACAAGGTGGGGTTGTTTTCGATGGGAAGCCCGGTCGTGTTTGGGCGGGCCATGGGCCGCCTTTCGTTGGGGAAACGAGGTCATCGAGGACGAGGTTGTTTGTGGTTAGTTCCAGAACGGGGGACCAATGGAGAAGTGTTCTTGATTACAACACCGACTTCGGGAGCACGGTAATGAGGCGTTGGGATGGCATTTGGAGGGTTTTTCGGCTCCGGTCTCTATCAATTCTCGTTGAATGCTTTGATCACCATTGATCACTGGACTGGAAACGCAGCTGGCAAGGCCAGAAGATGGGTAAGCTGCTGAATACTCATGTCGTCAAAATATCTCTTCGCCCTTCCCAAGAGCTCTTGTTAGCAGCTCTATCCCCAAGTCAGTCGCAGTGAGTTCGGTGAGTACACTTTGTACAGTATCCCCGTCATCCGACACAGCATTCGCGGACTTGGTGGTCTGATTCCCTGGTTTCGAAAAGGTCTGGCGGTATTCAGTCGATGGAAATCCCCGAGATCTGCTACCGCACCTTCTGGGGAGCAAAGAGACGCCGACGGGCGTAGTACGCAACTGGTGGACATCGATCGGCCCTCCTGCCCTCCATCTTCCCAGAACCGAAGTCTCCTTCGCCATTTCCAGTACCGAGCCTGAGGCAATCTCGATCCTGAACCGTGGACGAGGTAGATAGGCATCGTGGAAGAGCGCTTCCTGCTTGTGATTGCGGTTGCCAAGTTTCTGGACGAAAGATGTGCGGTTGTCGATCAGGCTCTCGTTTCGTCTGCGAGAGCTGGGATGATCTCATTTCCCTAAACAGGGAGGGGCTTCCATTGGCAATTTCCAACCTGGGAGAAAACGCGAATAAAGCCAGTGCTTCTGGACGCTCGTCGAAGTCGACTCCTGGCTCTTGAGAATGCAAGCGTAAAGGAGCCGCTGGGGCAATGTACTGGTACGGTGGTCTTTTCTGGTAATCGTCCAGCCATTGTCAGTGTTCTGTTGAGCGAGGAGCTTCTTTTCTCCCTTCTCTGGGTTAGCGTGGCGTTGTGCTCGAAGGCTGTATGAGAGTTTTCCTTGGTAGGACCTGGAGATTGGATTCGACTCTCGGCTTGTGGTTGGGCCATAGTGGTAAACAGTGGTCGTCGAATCCACTGGCTCAAGGGCTTTCCCGACACTGAGGCATGGACCGGCAGACACATAGCGGTCTTCTGGATGGTTTCTTTTGATGCGAGTCGGAACGGTCCTTCCACAGAAAAGGGAGCACGCCAACGAGATTGTCTGGCTTGTTGAGCATGGCGGTGGCAGTGCGAAGGTCCTTAGCTTCAGCGTTCAACTCAGCAACGCTCTTGAACGCTTGAGTCTTGGTGGGTTCGAACTTCTAAGCCTCGTCCGCGATGAAGCGACCAAAGACGTTGAGGACATGCGAGTGAAGACCGCGCTATCATCAAAAGCGAGCTCCGCCAGAGCATCGCTGTCGTCGACAGGGTTATTGTCTTCTTGACCACGATGGGGTCGAATGTCCCGTATTCGTCGTGCCGCTCCGTCGGCAATGTTGCGCTTTCACCTTTCTTCCCAATACACGGAGCGAATAACTCGGGTTCGGGTAAATGAATGGGATAAATGTTTTCAATGTAGACAGCTCATCGGGCAGATCTCGAATGAAGCCAAGGAGATCGAGTATACTAGTGCCCAATGTTCGACTGCGTTGGCGGCCATTCCCATTGAACCTACTCCCAATAGGATAGCGGACGGTAAGGGTAGGAAAATGTGCCTGAAGCTCTGCTTTCCATACACTAGTAGTTCTGAAGCTAATGTGGGTGCAGGAGTCATAGTTGAAGCCCAAACCATAGATCTCATTGGAAGGCTTGAGGACTGCGGGGATCTCTCTCAGAAGTCTTGGTTGTGTTCTGGCTAAAAAAGACTTCGATAAGATCAAACTCTATAACTCTCTATGGAAAGAAGAAGCCTGCGAAGACGATCTCCCTAACAGGGAATGATAGGCTTCCAGTGCCAAGTCCAAATCTTGGAGAAAAGACAGTATGCTAAGTGCTTCCGGACGCCGTGTGATCTTTCCTGGAATCCCGGACTCGGAGGAGGTGACAAGTGCTGGAAAGAGGTTGAATGCTGAGTCCCCCCCACGGTTCGATATTCGCCCAATACGATCTCCTGTACAGGGATCGGCAGACATCCAATGCCGCGTCTCGGTCTTGGAGATGTGGAATGCTGAATACTTCCAGACACCGTATGACCCGGACCCAGATTCCAGACCCGTAGGCGGCGACAATTGCTTGAGAATAGTTGAGCGGTGACTCCCCGATGCCGAAGTCGTTGGGTATACACCAGATACGAGCGCCCGAGTATCAGCAAGTTTTCCGGTGCCAGTTCTGAACCTTGGATGAAATTAGAACGCTAAGAGCTGCCGGAGGCTGTGTGGTCCGTTTGAAGATCCGGACTCGAAGGATATGGGGAGTGCTGAACGACAGTGCACCGTCAGTATACCTTTCCCGCAATGCTTCTGCCACAGTTCATCTTACCCAGTCACATGTTCCCTCTTTCGTCCTTTTCCTTCTCGTCTCCTCCCTGCCTCCTAATCTTCGTTATTGCGCGCTAGCATCTCGCTAAACGCACGCTGCTCGTCGTCCCGTCGCTGCTGTTCTTCCTGTAGCTGTATCTCCTCTTGCAACTTCTCCCCTCCGCGAGCGAAGATTGCTTGCCTAGGGCACCGTCAGAGTGTCGTCTTCGACGGTATCTTCTCTCTGATGATTGACTTACTTCAAGACGCCCTTGCTGTCTGTCACAGGGAGCTTTCTTGGTGTCCGCAGCACTTTTCGCGGCTCTTGCGATGACCTGTGGGTTTCGCTGGACTCCATCGTGGCGAGTGAGTGGGTTGGTTACTTGTTGTGAGGTAGCGCGGATGAGGATGTAGATGAGGATGAAAGCTGTACAGACAGGAGTGTGGGTGGAAGGGGTGGCTGATGGGAGTTGATGATGAGGGATGTTGATTTGTGTTGTGCCATGGTGACTGAAGAATGAAAATTTGAAATGGGAGGGTTGCTTAGTCGTTCGCTTAGTCGTTGGGGGAGAGGAAGGGGCAGTCATTTGAAGAAGCTGCTTAGTCGTCCAAGGAAGAAGAAGGAGTAGGCAATTTCAGAGTCTTTGCTTAGTCGCTAGCTTCAGAATGATATGACAGTGATTCACAGGTGAAGACAACCCAATCCGGCAGAGCCCACTATAGTCAGATTTTATGTATAGACACTGACAGATTTCTATCACGCAGCCGGAACCAAGATCTGATACTATTCACAATCCTCGTTGTGGAGCTCCGCACGAAGAAAGAGGAAAGGAGGAAGCACCAAAGCTGACTATGAAGAAAGTAACTTGGCCTGATAGACAAAAGATGAGGGTTCCACCAAACCGGCGAAGGTACGACTTCAAGGCTATTGCCAATAGTGCGGAGTGAGTACCAGAAAGCACAGACAAGATGCATTGAGTACGAGGGGAAAATGCCAGCGAATTGAAATGTGTCTCGAGGGGTGCCACTTGAAAATGTGCTGGAGAAGCATAGTTCGTCTAGATTTGCGATGAGACACCTCTTGGGTTCTTTGTAGCAAAAATCTCGCACTGCTGTATCGTTACGGTCTCAGAAAAAAAGGCCTTGGCTTTCATCCTCTTTCCAGTGACTTTATGATTTTCTCCTTGTAGGTTAGGTTCTCCCAATGCAAATGAATAGTCACGGACTCAGTATAACTGATTGCATTATATCCAGAGTTATGTCACGATCCTTTATAATTATATGTAAAGCGTGGGGTATGATGGTCTTCGAACAGCTAATCATATCCTAAGAAGAATACGACTCCCCCAAGGATTTCACACGTTTGGATAGTATTCCTAGATAGGACTGGCACAGCAAGATGGCCCAAGAATTCGGTTTCTTCTTTGTGATCTGTAGATCTAAACACAGTCGATGGTGATAATACCCAGCGTAGATTGGAATCTTAAACACCTGGGCTGGGTCTCAGCCTCCTAGCTAAGGCTCAATGTTTCTCACACGAAAGACTCTGCAGAGGGTTTCGGAGCTCCATGCTGGTTAGTCTGGAGAAACGTCAGCGTCGATTGAGTCCTACATTCTAGTGCAACTTATCTTGTCCGATGAGATATCATGCGTGACACGAATCCCTGGTCCCTGCAATGGCAATTCCATATCTCGAGATCCTTTGAAGCTACCCGAGCCATACGGAGAATAACGTATATACGTCCGAGCGCCAGTGAACGTTGGTGCCAGGGCCGCGGGCAGACCGTCATCGCGTCTCACAATTTTGCTCCAGATAGATCGGGAGGTAGAGGCATGATGAGCCGGCGATTGCTGTTTCGATGTTCGGTGGGCAACGAAAAGTGCGCGGAATGCAGTGATAGAGACCACGATGATTGCGACAGCGGCTTCAGCTTGAAGCCAAAATATCGCCCACGCGGAGTCAACTTGGTCATGGCTGATGTTTCCTCCAGCAACTTTGATTACCGCCGTGATTGCCGTGAAGATACTGAGGCATAGGATCCCCCAAAGTGCCAGCTTCCGACGGAGGTTTATTTTGACATTCCAGAGTAGTATCACCGGGATGGATATGACTGCTGCTTTTAGTATGCAGGGCAATGCGGATTGCGAAGGGTGAGACCTACGTAAGGCATCCGAGACAATGTCCAAGGTCGCTGTTGCTCTGAGAGTCCCGTTCTGCCTAGCAAGAGCCACGGGAGTCACGCACTCGACTAAGCAGAGATCTTATCAATATAGAAAATTCAGAACCCTGGTTGGATGCAAAACTAACCGAGTATTCTTTCATCGAAGTATGAACAAG